TGTTATATCGTTGTGGATCGATATATTTTTTTAAAGTATCGACACATTATAAGCGCTAAAACTACTTCTCTTTTAAATTCACAAAGTGTCGATCCTTATATAAAGTATCGACACTTTCAATATATCCGGTAACGTTTTACCGGTTTTATCATTTTGTTACCGGTTTTATCATATTTTTACCTGGTATATCGTTTTAATATTTCTTCATGACTTAGACCTACTTTTATACGTATGGACACTTTTATAAAAATGATATATACTTTTTTTAAAGTTATGTAATTTATGTTTCAATTTTTTTTAATAGTGTTTCATGTTTTCCACCTACAATATTAATTTAATAATTTCATTTACACAAAAAATTATTTGATTATTTGATATTTTATAAAATATTATTTAGAATTTAAATTTAACAATATTAACCAAAGATAATAATAAATATGTTTTCCACAGTGAAATAAGTATGGACACTTTTATAAAAATGATATATACTTTTTTAAAGTTATGTAATTTATGTTTCAATTTTTTTAATAGTGTTTCATGTTTTCCACCTACAATATTAATTTAATAATTTCATTTACACAAAAAATTATTTGATTATTTGATATTTTATAAAATATTATTTAGAATTTAAATTTAACAATATTAACCAAAGATAATAATAAATATGTTTTCCACAGTGAAATAAGTATGTACACTTTTATAAAAATGATATATACTTTTTTTAAAGTTATGTAATTTATGTTTCAATTTTTTTAATAGTGTTTCATGTTTTCCACCTACAATATTAATTTAATAATTTCATTTACACACAAAATTATTTGATTTTTTGATATTTTATAAAATATTATTTAGAATTTAAATTTAACAATATTAACCAAAGATAATAATAAATATATTTTCACAGTGAAATAAGTATGGACACTTTTATAAAAAGGATAGATACTTTACAATATAACAGGTAAAAATATGACAAAACCAGATTTATTATGACAAAACCGGTCAAATTTACTTGATATGTTAAAAGTATGGACACTTTTATAAAAAGGATAGATACTTACCGATAACCAAAGTTTACCGGTTACCAAATTTTTTAATAGTTTTTCATATTTTCTACCTAAAACATTATTAGTTGTCAACATAATAGGTACCGCTAAACCGAATTTATTAAATACATTTTAATGTATCCGGTACTGCCGTATATTAGCCGTATATTAACCCGCCTTTCCTGAGACAATCCCATATATCATTAGTGTTATGCATATGCATCTATTGTTAATTCAAATTTTTGTTATTTATTTTTAGTTTGAAAAATAAATTTCCCATATGTCTCAAAACAAAAAAATAAATAAATAACAATAATAATAGGACGCCAATATTGATAAATTATAGTCTAGGGAGGCGGCCATACTAAAATGAAGCTGCAGACAAAAGTGAAACTGAATTTTGTCTAAATAATAAGTTAATTTAAAAAAAATTGATTTTGTTTTTAAGATTTGTCAAAATTTTGGTCAAAATTTGACCAAAGTTGGAGTTGGCGAGGAGTATGATGTTGGTTATTCTCTCTTATGGTCTCTTCTTTAATTATTTCTCCTTTTGTGGTTACTTTTCTTATTCTATTTTTATATCATATAATATACTATGGATGGTTGGTGGTGGGATTTTTTTATTCAATATTCTATTTTTAATTAATAAAAAAAATTAGATGACCCTTATTCTCATATGTAATTGGGTAAGGGAGAGGTAAGGTAGTAGGTTGTCCCCAACACCAGGTTGAGAGCAGCTTCCGTGGGAGACCTCCAAATTATGAATTGTCCACCATGGGACTCGATCACATGACCTCAAGGTTAAGAACCTTGTGTTCTACCAACTGAGCTGGATAGGCAACTTATTTTTAATTAACCAATGTATTTAATTTATTGACCCACTATTCCAGATAGGATATCATAGAGACTATAGTAAACTTTTCAACCCAGTTTATTCTATTCGTAAATATTAAGATTTGAATCATTGATCTTATTTAAAAAATTTAATGTTTCATCTCATTAAATCAATTGATATTTATTATTCTATTTTAAATCGCAAACAAACAAAAATAATTGTATAATAACAAGAATTGTTGTATTTGACCAAAGTTGGAGTTGGCGAGGAGTATGATGTTGGTTATTCTCTCTTATGGTCTCTTCTTTAATTACTTCTCCTTTTGTGGTTACTTTTCTTATTCTATTTTTTATTTCATAGAATCTACGATGGATGGTTGGTGGTGGGATTTTTTTATCTATTATTCTATTTTTTAATTAATAAATATTATTTAATTTATTGACATATTAATCCAGATCGAATAATATAAAAGCGAGGGTGACATTCTCAACTTAATTTGCTCCATTGACAAATATTAAGATTCGAACCATTGATATTACTTAAAAAATTTAATGTATCATCTAACTAAATTAATTATGATTATTGATATTCATTATTCTATTTTAAATCCCAAACAAACAAAATTTGCCTTATATGGTGTCGTTACTAACTTTTCTGCATATCTTCACGTGACACAGAAATTGAGCATCGGATCAAATCATACCTGTTGCCAACCTAGTGACATTTGAGATTCCAAGCTATGACATCTCGTATCATGTATTTTTCTTTTCTTTTCTTTATATATTATATTAAAATCAATTAGGTATTACATTCTCGATTTTGTTTTTTAAAATAGGTTAAAGAGTTTAATTCAAATTTGATCTAATTTTGAATTGATTGGATAAAAAGGAAAACTTATGTTAATCGAAAATAATAAATTTGTTATATTTTAAATTGATTGATAGCGGAAAGCATACTTTAAATATATTTTGATTAACAAGTTTTATTTATATTTAAGTAATTATTTATATAAATAAATAATAAAAATTATGATTAAAAGTCAAGTTATGTACGAGCAGTGGATATATTTTTTAAAATATATCGACTTTGTTAAGTTAATTATATGAGTATGAATATATGATACTTTTCAAATATATATATATATATATGAATATGATTAATTTGTCTTTCTATTTATAGGTTATAATAATATTATGTATAATATATATATATATATATATATATATATTTAATATTTTTTAATTTTTAATAATTTACAGTTTATCATCTTATAATCATTGGTCTATTTTTAATTTTTCAATTATATTTTAAATATTTTTTTTTGGTAACCTATTTTTTATTTTTCAATATTATGAACCACCACTTTAGTATTATATGTAAACCTCTGATCTCGTTGATTAAAAAACATAATTATTATTTTTAATTTAAAAATTATCTTAAATTAATTTTTTAATAATATATCAATTTTTTAAAAGATTTAAGAATCTCAAACACCATTAAACTTGTTTTAATTGCTTTATGTTTTGGATATTATTTATGACTATTTTAATTTTTTTGAAAATATTTTTTTAATATATGTTTTCCACGTGAATATGATATTAATGATAGATATGCACTGACAAAAGTGGCTGCTTGAATGAAGTTTAACTAAAGCAAAGTCCAAGCTGGGCATCCCACCACATGCCGTCTGTAAAATACCAATTAGTCAGAGTCAATTACCCATTCTCATCTCTGATTTGCTATTTCCTTCTTTCTTTCCTTCAACCGCTCGTCCATACATAAATACCAATACAACTGAGGTGATTTGTCAACTACTTATTTGCTGCTTCACTCTACTTGTGAAAGGAGAGGAGAGGAGAGGAGAGGAGAGGAGAGAAGGTACAGTGCCAATCATTCTAAAAGAAACTATTGAGGACAAAAGACATCGAGTCTCCCATAATCTTGGCTCTGCGCTGATGGCGGATCTCAGGTCAGCATTTCTCAATGTGTATTCCCAACTCAAATCGGAGCTCCTTCAGGACCCTTCTTTCGAGTTTACTGATGAATCTCGTCAATGGGTTGATCGGGTATTTCACTTTCTCCCCCTTCCTTCTGCGTTTATATAACAACCTGTGTCGTCATGTTTTCTTTTTCCTGAAAAAGTTTATTTTTGACCGTCCTATCTACTTTACCCCTGCAGATGCTTGAGTACAATGTACCCGGAGGTAATTTAACTAGTATTCTGTGACTCGGTTAGTTTTGTAAGTTCTTTTTGGCTTGGATCTTGATTCACTTTAACTTGTCTGTTTTCTGTTTTACAGGGAAACTGAATCGTGGACTCTCTGTGATTGATAGCTACCGCCTGCTGAAAGAAGGAAAGGCGTTGACCCAAGATGAGATTTTTCTCGCAAGTGCTCTCGGTTGGTGTATTGAATGGGTATCCCTCTAAATCACTCTGCAATGTCCGTTTTTATAATTTTTTTTCCATATTAACATAGCTAATGACGAAAAAAAACTTGTGCTTTCTCACAATAAAATCTGCAGCTTCAGGCGTATTTTCTTGTTCTTGATGACATAATGGATAACTCTCACACCAGGCGTGGTCAGCCTTGTTGGTTTAGAGTGCCCAAGGTTTGTGCTAAGTTTGTACCTTGTACCAAGTCAACTTTCCTTATGTTTATATTTCCCCTCTGCTAAAAATCAATTAACTTTGTTTGAACTACTTGTAGGTTGGTTTGATTGCTGTAAATGATGGAGTTCTACTTCGCAATCACATCGGCAGAATTCTCAAAAATCACTTTCGTGGGAAACCTTACTATGTAGATCTCCTAGATCTGTTTAATGAGGTAATGAATTAGGATGCATCTTAGATTCTCTTCATTCAAAAATTATCCCAAATTTTCACATATTATCTTACACAGGTGGAGTTTCAAACAGCTTCAGGACAGATGATAGATCTGATTACAACACTTGAAGGAGAAAAGGATCTATCCAAATACTCATTGTCTAAGTGAGTGAAACATTAGCTATTATTTGTTTCAAGAAATAATAGTTCAATTATTATGCATAATGCGAGTGATAACTGGCCTGTTATTATATTGTACCCAAACAGCGAAAAAATTACATCCTTTGCCTCGTTTCACTTTTTCCATTTTAACTCTTTCTAATAGTGATTCTCGTATATGCCCTCATTTATATGTTGGTTAAATATCTCTTCAGGCACCGTCGCATTGTTCAGTACAAGACTGCCTATTATTCCTTTTATCTTCCTGTGAGTATCAACCTCCATTTCACTTGAACCATGCAAATTGAATTATTTGCAACCTTTTCTTCTGCACTGTTTTTGAAAGGGACACAGCTACCATTCTAATGATACTGCTTCAGGGCTAATAACACAAATTCTGCCTCGTCTAATAGAGCACATGTTGTCCTTACGTCCTGCATGTACTCCTGAATATTCTTAACACATGCTTATGTACATCAATAGGCTGTTAGTTGGATTGACGACGCTGCTTTATTGGCTATATCTCATCTTGGATTAACCATTTTGCTTCTAATGCCCCATATATCAATCTAGGCAGCACTTACAGCTAATATTTTTACAGATGACACTTTCTCTTAGTACATCTAATCATTTATGTCTGAGTTTGAGGGTTGTATGGGAAATCCACCTCTTATATCACCTAAATGGACGCAGGTTGCATGTGCACTGGTTATGGCGGGTGAAAATCTTGACAATCACATCGATGTAAAGAACATTCTTGTTGACATGGGAATCTACTTCCAAGTACAGGTAATATTTGGACAAATTCATCTGACTTTTAGCTTATACAATTTTATTCTGCGAATAGATAATTGAAAGCCGAATACAGTTTTAAATTTAATAGTTAAGGACTTTAAATCTATCAAAGGTTCTACTGAAGTTTTAGAGGTTTGTGGTTTCAATTGAGCTTTTAGAATGTTCCTTTTAGGAATTACTCAACATGGTTTATGACTCCCAAAATGTTCTATCGATCTGCTTTCTTGGTAGGTGGAATCAATGCTCTTCTTTTTTCAGCAGATCCAACATGTTAATATTGATTTTCTCCATGTTTGCAGGATGACTATTTGGATTGCTTTGGCGATCCTGAGACCATTGGTAAGGTGAGATATGGAGAACTAAATTCTTCCACTGGAAATCACTCATCGTTTGTTTTATGCAAAGTCTTACTCAAGCTCTGCGTAATCTCAGATTGGAACCGACATCGAAGATTTTAAATGCTCTTGGTTGGTGGTTAAAGCATTGGAAATCTGCAACGAGGAGCAAAAGAAAGTATTATATGTAAGATTGAACTGTTCTCAGTTATCTCATTTGCTAATAAATTTGATATTTTTGTTACTCATTTGATGTTATGGTTTCCTCCCAGGAGAACTATGGGAAGCCAGACCCTGTCAACGTTGCTAAAGTGAAGGCTCTATACAATGAGCTTAATATCAAGGTTTGATATTATTCAGGATTTCTTTCCGGGACATAAAAAAAAGCAGGAAATGTTGTACGGTTAATTTATTTCCTACTGTTATCTTTATTGACAGGGTGTATTCGAGGAGTACGAAAGCTCAAGCTATGAGAAGCTTGTAACCTCAATCGATGCTCATCCTAACAAAGCAGTGCAAGCAGTGTTGAAGTCCTTCTTGGGGAAGATTTACAAGAGGCAGAAATAGAGTATGCAGTTTCCAGAAATGAAAGGTGTCTAGAGCATTCTCCACTCTTGTATTCTATGCTTATTTATTTATCTTCAAATGTTATAATCAATCTTCTTCTTGTACTCTATTCCGACAAACATCTGGTTTCGAATTTAAATAAATTTAGTAGAGTTCATTCCTAGCCATTTTGAAAAAGTTAAGCCAAAATAGGATGCGTGCTCATGTCTATTGATTGTGGTTATTTGGATTAGCTTTCCCTGCCTTGATTATTATATAATCAATTGATGCTCTGGTAAGATGGCTTTTCCTGGCACTAATGGTGAATTGTTTGTTCCCTGATGATGGTCTTGTTGATATTTGAGAAATGAATCTCCTTTTCTTTGATATGAATTATTAAAAGTATATACAATCATATCAGCTAATATCGACACAGAACTGCTGTGGTAGTAAATTCTGCCACTGCTTCTAACAGACTGAAATTAAATATAAAATATGAAATAAAATAAACCTGAAATTGTCTAGGACTTGAGAAAATCAGGCTGATTGGTGACAGACCTGACCCATTCCCATTTATGGTCCTTGATGTTCACTTCATTCTTAGCCTGTGCCACATCTATCAACGGGATATATGCATGGTTTCCGTTGATAGGACCAGTCACAAATCCGGTATATCCCGCCATTACCCCATGAATAGCCGAGTGAGCCACGAGTGTACAGTACAAATTATCCGTAGCATTTGCTGGCACTGCACGTATCATGTAAGTAGGATCTATATACTTCACCGTAAACAACTCATGTGGATGGTCTCTGTCCCACCATTTCTTCAGCTCCGACTTCAACCACGCACCGACGTCTAGGAAATCCCGGTTGCCCGACTCATCCCTTTCCTCTTCCTGGGCTTTGGTTCTGGGTATTAGATCCTGCCCTGCCCCTTCAGCAACTACCACCACTGCATGCCCCCTATCTTTCAGTCTCTGTTCAAGGAATTCAAATAACCCTCCCTTCCCTTCCAAGTAAAACCCAGTTTCGGGAATTAAACAGCAGTCTACGTCTCTGCTGCTCAATGTAGCATGAAGGGTTATATGCCCTGTGCTTCGACCCATTAGCTTCACTAAACCAATTCCATTCACTGCACTCTCCGCCTCCACATGAGCTGCATGGATCGCTTGTTGTGCCATTTCTACAGCTGTCTGGAACCCAAATGATCTATCGATTATGCCCACATCGTTGTCTACAGTTTTAGGAATTCCGGTAACTCCTACTCTCAGATTTCGCCGCCGAATCTCCTCAAATATTTTGACAGCACCACGCATTGTGCCATCTCCACCTATAATGTAAACCTAAAGAAACCCATCCAGGACGCAGGCTATTATGAATTAACATACATACATACATACATAACAATAATTGCTTTAGAAACTACGCATTATGCATACATACACATAATGGGCATAGCAGATAAGAAACAAACCTGATCAAAGCCGTGGTTCTGAATAGCATCAACAATCTTTGTGAGGTCAAAGCCACCCCTAGAGGTTCCAAGCACAGTCCCGCCTTTCCTATGCCAGTTATGTACCATCTTAGGACTGAGCTCAACAGGGAGAGAAGAGTAGAAACCTCTGTAGCCAGCTTTAATACCATATATTTGGCGCACCCCATATAGATCCCAAAGGCCAACAACAAGCTCCCTTAAGACCGTATTCATCCCAGGACAGAGTCCCCCACATGTAACGATAGCAGCCTTGGTGGTAGTAGGGTCAAAGAAGATGTTTTTGCGAGGACCTGCTCTGATATATGCCAAGTGGTGAGGAGAATGAAGCGTTCCAGAGGGAGAGAGGCAGCTGACGATGTGGCGGAGAACTATATCGGATGAGGTTATGTAGAAGCCGTCAGAAGGATGGAAGAATGGATTACGGTCCAGTGGATTGGGGCATGCATATTGGAGGTCTTGCAGGTACTCTTTCAGATGAGGCAGCTTTTGGAGGGTTATAGGAGAGAATGAGAAGGCATGATGATCGTCAGAGTGATCGTTTAGCTGCTGTTGTGGTGGTGGTGGATTTTGAGTGGCGGAGCCGGCGGTGTTATTGGTTGCTTCTGGCTGTGATAAATTAGCCATGGTGGGTGAATTGCAGATTCAGACAGACAGGTGTAATGATCAAATGCAAATGAAAAGCAAACACAAATGCGTTTTGGTTTAAATTTAGCTTTGAATATATGCATCCTGATGGACGATTGTTGTCTGTGTGTGTGGCATGTTTTGGCTTTGCACACGTGGCGATGTCTTCGGTGCCATTTTTGTTACGTGCGCTTTTATTCATTTCTAGAACTTTACTAGAATATTGTTGGCCTGGGCTGGGCTTCAGACTACAAACTGCTGTGAAAGTCTCGAACCAACCAATTCACCATACAAACTGTATCAGATTCAGATGGAGGAATTCATGTCCAAGATGCCACCAGAATTTCTGGGCCTTGCTTGCATGCAAGGAATGTGACCGCATGTCGTGTAACTAAAATTTCAGTAATGTAACCAAGAAATGTGTAGGCTTTTTTGCTTAGATGTTTAATTAGAAGTTCTTGCAGAATAGAACCCTTTTTGCTATAGCATTCTTATTTCTGCATGCATTTTCATACAAGTGGTATATTTGAATTTAAGTAGGGTTCCTTTTCATTATAAGATTCCAAAAGTTGAAGAGAGGGTTCCTTACTGCCTTTTACTAGTTGTAAAAAAGAAAAATAAAATGAGTGATGAAAGTGAAAAAAGTGAGCAGTGTTGATGTGGACATGGAAAGCGAAGTGAAGAAGGAAGGTAAATGAGTGTGAGCAAGGAAAGGGAAAGGAGCTTCCAAATGTCTAATCTAATCCCATCCTCTTCCCTTTCGGTCAATTATGAACAACCAAGTGTCATCACATATTATCTCATATATATATATATATACACATACATATTATATAAATATTCTTCCTTCTTAACGGCTTTTAACTGCCGGAGGAAGCATGAGGAGGGTGACGCAGTTGGTTCACGCCACCGCCGCTAATGTCTTGTCTCAGCCACCCAATACTTCTCCTTTCAGCGCTCCATTTTCGCCCAGTACTAACAACCTAAGCCGGAATAAGTTGAATTTGTTCTTCCACAGGTCAAGGATGCCCTGACGGTGTCCCCCAAAACATCATTGTCACGTCATTAACAGATACCGCCGCTTTTGTCGGCGCTACTTCCTCCCACAACAGCTCCCGATATGTTTTCAAGCCAGGAGTCATCAAGTAATCACTCCTTTTATGTAATTTTAGAAAATTACTTTCATTCACTAACTAATTATTTATTTATTTTAGATTATCTAAATGTGTTGTCATTCATGTCATGTATGCAGGGATGTGAGGCTACTCTGTCTGTTTAGATTTAAACTTTGGTGGATGATACCCCGGACAGGAAGTTCGGCAAGTGACATTCCACTTGAGACTCAGATGCTACTCTTGGAAGCAAAACAAAGACCGGCTTCTCACCGATCAACTTATATCCTTTTCTTGCCTGTTCTAGCTGACAATTTTAGAAGCAGTTTGCAAGGCAACTCATCAGATGAAATCGAGTTTTGTGTCGAAAGCGGTTAGTATTTGTTGCTTAAGCTAAGGTTGCCACTTGCCACACACCCTAATTTTCACATACTTGGTTTCGCTAGTTTCTCTAATGACCTGGACTTTTTTTTTTTCTTTTAATAGGTGACCCTGCAATTGTTACATCACAATCTCTGGAAGCAATCTTTGTGAATTACGGAGACCATCCATTTGATTTGGTGAAGGATTCTATGATGTAGGTCAGATTTCTGA